CTCTGGGCGGCTCCTGTGGGAACGGGCAGCCATGGGGCTCTGGCCGCGGGCGGCTTTCACTCCCCCCGCTGCGCCTCTGAGTCTGAGCAGCCGTGAGGACTCCTGGTGGTGCTGGGGACCCAACGGCTGTGGGGCGGCCAGTGTGCGGAGCCCCGCAGGGACGCGGCCTGCAGGAGGGACCTACCTCTTTCAGCTTCTTGGCCCAGGGCTTCTGTGCCTTCCGAAATCCGTCCTCGGCCTCTTTGGTCTCCTTAAAGCCTCCCATCATCTGCTTGTGGAAGGCCTCCTTCTGCCAGTTCTTGATTTTCTCGAAGTCGTCGTTCATGAGCGAGGCCTTCACCTCGAGGTGCAGCTCACTCACCTTCTCTGCCTCAGACATGACAGCCACCCAGGCCTTCTCCACCGACCCATACTGTGGCCCTGGGCACAGAGAGGAGCTGTGGTTACGGGCCTGCCTGTGGTGGGGCTTCCTGTCAGCCCCTTTCTGCCCCCGCCGGTGGGAGGTGCCGCCCGCACACACCGGCCCTCACCAGCCCTGCAGGTGCCTCCATCCTGGACCACAGGGAGCCCGGCTCAGAGCAGACGCCCGAGAAGGCCTGTGGGGTGGGGGCAAGTCCCCTCCCTCATGCTCACTGTCCTCAGTCTACAAGGGGTAGGAAGGACACTCTTAGTCTAGTCATCTTTATTAAGGGGGCAGGTGGGGTGGCCAGGGCTTGGGAAGCTCTGTGGCCAACAGTGGAGTGGGGGCCCGGAACCAGTCTTCCAGGGGCTCCCAGGGAGCAGTGGCCACACTGAGGAATGGTGTGCAGGGGAGGGAGGTGTGAGAGCCAGTGAGGCCGCACGGCCCCGAGGCTTGGACACAAAAGCGTGACCACGGATGGTCAGCCTCGGCCTCTAACCCTCATGTCCACAGAGTGAGCACGCTGCCCACCAGGCTTCGGCTACAGTGCCATGGCCGGACCCAGAAGTAAGGATGGCCCTGGGGCCTCACGAACCTCGAACTCTGAAAGAAGAGAGTGGGTGGCACTTACAGCTAGATGCTGAGGGGACTCGAGTGGTGGCAATGACACAGTCACAGTGCAGCTACGTGGGAGCCAACCTAGCCCAGCTGCACCACACTCACGTACCTGCTCCTCACCCTGGCAGGGTGTGCCAAGGACAGCCCCCCCACACACACCCCGCTGCAGCAGCAGGGGGAGGACAGAGCCCACCTTGACATGGCTGGCCCTCGCCCAGTGGCCTTGCTGGTCGGCTCCTCTGAAGACCAGGGTCTGGCCAGCACAGATCAGACACATCCGGAAGCTGCCCAGTGTCTGCTCTGTCCAGGAAACCCCACCATCGGTCAGGCTGCCCGGCACTGCGGGCAGCACGCTCGCAGCACGGTCCCTGTCCACCCGAGGGCACCTGTAGTCAGTGCAGAGCCTTCCCAGCACCTTGAGCGTGAGGGAAGGGATAATGTACCCACTTACAACACCTGCAACTAATCCCTTCAATTCGAAATTAGAAGCCAGCCGAAGCCACATCTAGCCTTGTCTCCCTACGGGCCGAGTTTAAAAACCAACACTCGCAGCTGAGACAGCAGGCACTGGGCGGAGGCCTTCCACCGACAGGAGCCTGCTGTCGGCCCTAGGAGCGCACATCAGCGCGGCTGTGGCCCAGGGCGGGGGCGGTGCATGGACGTCTGCAGAGGGCGGGCCCTGTCCCCACGGACGGGGTGGACACTGGTGCAGCCCGTGCCGTGGACGGGCACCTGCTGCCCTCCCCAGACCTGTGAGAAGCAGTCCTCCCCCGCCTTCTGAGAGGACACTGGCCCGCGGGGTCGCGGGCGTGCGTGGGCAGCATCGGGGCCCCTACCCTTCTCCACGAGCTGCCGCCAGCGCCGGGCCCACTCGGTGAGCTGCTGCGCGTAGGCCTTCTCGATGCGCGCCCGCTCGTGCAGGCAGTTCATGAGGTCGCTGCACAGGCGGTGGCCATCGTCGATGCGCTTCACGGTCCGCTTGTAGTTCCCGACCTGGGGACAGAAGCCCCGCACGTCGGCCGTCACGCCGGCCAAGCCCCGGAGGGTCCCCACTCCGTCCCCACGGCTAGAGGGACACCCGTGGTGTCAGAGAGAAGCCGCCTGTCCTCATCTGCAAGTGGGGCTTCTCACCGGCCCACCCTGGGCAGGGAGGGAGCAGGGTTGGGATGGGGGTGGGCAAGGATGCCCAGAGGGGCTGGACAGCTTCCCAGAGGTGACGGCTAACTAGTGGGCCTAAAAAACAGCAGAGAAACAACTTCTCAATAGCTCAGGTCAAAAGGGTTTTATAATTAACATTATAGGCTTTCTTTTCTAAAAGCCTTTTGACAATTTTTTGTTTGTTTGATTTTTAATGAAATGCTTCAAGAGTGCTTCATGTGCCACCCTGGAGGTGGGGCACGCCAAGCCCTTCTCGTCCCGACCATGGTACATGAAGAGCGCGTGGCGGGCTGCGGCTCAGCAGGGGCACCGACGCGTCCGTGTGGTCTCCTCCGATGCCGTCACAAGCTGGGCTAGGAGCACCTCCAACCACAGCAGTGAGCACTTTCTCGCCTACCCCGCACCTACTATGTGCCAGGCGCCACGCTCAGTGCTCTGCACCTCTAAATATGGCCGTTCCATCTACCAAGGCGTAAGCACCCCACTTCACAGCAAGGGAACCAGGACCCGGCAAAGTTATGCAGCCACCGGTGGTTTGTCACGGTGACAGGCAGGTGAAGGAGCCAACACACTTCTCCCTGAAGTCTCCGCAGGGGGCTCTGCCCTTAGCCCTGTCTGGGTGCCGCCATCCTCACCCCTGCTGGAAACAGCCTCCTGACCTTCTCCGTGGTGCCCGGGGAATGTGAAGGGGGAGTTTTACCACCTTCTCACGGCCTCTCGCCGCTGGGGCCTATGACTGCCCTGTCCTGGTTCCTGTCACTCCTAGAGGGGCTGGTCCTGGTTGGCCTTGCTATGCAACTGGGACCCCAAGCTCCTGCTTGGAGAGGTACTTCGGTGTGGGGGTCTCCTCCTCGGGACGTGACCCCAGGACCCCTCTTACTGAACGCTTTCTCTGACTGGCTTCACTCGTTTTCAGGGGAGAGTCTCAGCAAGATGGCGAGAGTGGAGAAGAGACAGCAAATCTCCCCATCAGGGCACAGCTTGGACGGCGAACCTCAGACTCCTCTCTGCTGTGCCAAGGACCAGGGTGAGTTTAACCTCTTTTGTTTTCATGTGGGAAAGGAGGAGCGAGCTCACGTACGTGGTGCATAAAGGGACGACTGAGAAAACATCAATGGCTAATTCGGGTGACCGCGGAAAGAGAGGAACGTCCCATTTGAGCTGCTGGTTGAAAGGACACGGGTAGCACCTGCAGGAACGCGGTTCCACGGGGAAGGGTCTAGTGTGATCCCAGCCCTTTCTCCCGGTCTTCACGAGTCTTAGTCACCTCTTGTCACTTGTACCTTCTTCAAACCCCTGCCTGGCTGATCACTCTCAGCACATTACCCCTGCTCAGAATCAACCTGGAAGTTCCCGGAGGTCAGGATGGACAGGGGACAGGTGGGACAGTGGGACAGGGTACAGGCCTGTCTGTACGCAGGCTGAGACAGACGGTGCAGCCCCTTTAATTCTGACCTGAGAATGGTTCAAAGCCCCGGAGCCTCTCTGCCCTGAGGTGAGCCGGTCAGGTGCAGGGGGGCGACCCTACCCCTGCAGGAACCAGCAGCTGGGGGGAACAGCACAGTCCCCCGAGGGCACTCGCCTGGCGGCCTTCTCCGGGGGCATGCTGTGCTGTCTGGTGGGCTGTGGAAGCGTGAGGACAGCTGTCAGACCTGTCAGCCATCACCGCTCCCTCCACAGCCCCTTCCAGCCCAGCTGGGGCCTGGCAGTTGGCTCAGCAGCTCAAAAACCCAAGCGCTGCCCCTGAGCAGGCACACAAACCTGCAGTTCGAGGCTGGTCTCACCCCCTCCCCCAGCAACATTCAGTGTAACTGTCATCAAAACGTGACTGTGGCTCTGCAAAGACCTGTCTACCTCTCTGACTTTCTGAACATTTGAAAAAGATCTAGGGAAAAGAAAAGGCTTATTTTTCAAAGTTCATCTTCTCCCAAGAGAGGGAGGGGGGAGAGACGCCATGATGTACCCCGGCTTCAGGCGCCCTGCACCACGAGCGAGCGTGTGCAGGCGTGCTCAGGGAGGTCCCTGCACGTGAGCCCACAGCCTCCATGTGGGCCACTCGCAGCACATTCTGCTCCGGTGCCAGGCCGCGGTCGGGCCCACAGCTCGTTCAGAGAGGACTAAGTGGCAGCTAACGCCGTAAGGTGACCATACACTGGCTAAGAGCCGAGTCGTTCACAAGTAGCCCCTTTTGAATGAGGTCTGGAGCCGGCTATGTCCCTTAGTGCTCTAAGTTCAGGCTTGTCCCACTCAGCCACTACGAGCCAGGGACACGGTCACCACACCTGTGCCTGGGTGTGCCTGCAGGCTGGCGGCCCACCTCTCTCCTCAGGGACCCGCCTGGCCAGAAGGAGGGTCAAGTCCCAGGTTCCTACAAAGGGACTCTGCTCCCTCACAGGGCCCTGGGACAGCTGGAGGAAGGGTGGGGTGGGGAGGGTCACCCACAGAGAACTCTCCAGGACAGGACGCCCGGCCAGGTTACAGTGAGGTGGTGGAAGGTGTCCCAGGCAGAGAACGGCATGACAAAAGGAGGCAGGTATGACAGCACAGCAGTGACCTTGGGGCCTGTGAGCTTGAGCAGCCCCCAGGGATGGAACACAGATGCCCGGGAAGGGACTGGAAGGGACTGGAGACGGTGGGGGAGCTCAGATGTGGGAAGCTGTGAGCACGGGGGCTTCATCCTGAAGGGGGCGTGCTCTGGCGGGGCTCAGGAGGCTGGGGAGGGAAGCCCAGAGAGGGGCCGCAGCAGTGGGGACGTGGGGACGGGCGGGACAGAGGTAATGGGACCCCAGCTCTAGGCCAATGGCCATCTGAGCGTCTGGCACCCCTGCCTTCTCCATCCTGGGCCCCTGGCCTGGGCAAGAGCAGAACCACTTCCTTTCTGGTCTTCTGCAGACCCCTCTCCTGCCTCCCTGGGGAGGTGCCAAGAGCCACACCCTACCTATCACCCAGCCCGGCCCACCTGGGGAACCCCAGCCCTTGCCCCCACTTCTGCAGGCCCCTCCTTTCAGTACATCAGGCTTTCCTCTGCTCCAGAGAGGAGAGTGACCCATGAGAAGCCATGGCTTTAAAATCGGCTAGAAAGAGTTTTTTTTAGGGCAGCACCTGCCCCTCTGCGGACTCAGGAGCAGACACCGGGCTCCCTGAAATAAAAGCCCGCTGCGGCTCAGCTCCAGGAGCTGGGGAGGACTGAGGAGGACTGGGGAGGACGGACGGACTGGGGAGGACTGGAGAGGATTGGGAAGGTCTGGGGAGGACTGAGGAGAACTGGGGAGGACTGAGGAGGACTGGGGAGGATTGGGAAGGACTGGAGAGGACTAAGGACTAAGGAGAACTGGGGAGGACTGGGGAGGACTGAGGAGAACTGAGGAGAACTGGGGAGGACTGGGGAGGACTGAGGAGAACTGAGGAGAACTGGGGAGGACTGGGGAGGACTGGGGAGAACTGAGGAGAACTGAGGAGGACTGGGGAGGACTGGGGAGGATTGGGGAGGACTGAGGAGGACTGGGGAGGACTGTGAAGGACTGGGGAGGACTGGGAAGGACAGGGGAGGACTGCTCTGACAGGTCCAGGTCGCTCAGCTTCCACTCGCCTCAGGCCTGGGGCGAAGCGTTTACAAGGACCTGGCCAGTGTCCACCCTCTGACTTCACAGCCCACTTACCGTGACAAATGCTTTCTGCAGAACACAGAGGCCAAAGGCGATGGAGGAGCTGAGTGCTGGAAGCAGGGCAGGAGACCAGGCCCTGGACCCAGGGCTGGGGTAGGGGGAGAGGGAGCGCAGCCTTGAGCTCCTCCGAGCTCCTCCTGCCTCTTTCGGACAGGGCTGGCAGGGCAGGGGACCTGCGGGGGCACATGTGGGTCTCCTCGCTCAGACCCATTTCATTCTGTCACCCTCGTCTTGGTTGGTGAGGCCCATCTCACAGGTAAATTACCCCATTACAGCCCAAGTCCCAGGGTGAAGCCGGCAGCCCAGGTGAGGGCAGAACCAGGCAAGGCCAGCCCAAGCTTGCCCTTCTGCCCCAGGCTACCTTGGCCCTAGGCACCAAGGGAGTGCCCAGCCCTTCCTGCCCAGGGCAGACCTCAGCACCACCAGGAACCCGATCAAGGCTCTGGCTGTCTCAGTGCTGGTGCAGAGGGACCTCTCTGGCCTGTGCCCAGGGCACCTCGACGCCACTCCCCACCCAATACCTTCAGCTCTGTACCTGCGCCCACACCCTGTCCTCACCCACCGCACTCTCTCCTGCCTTCCGCAGCTCTCCCGCCCTGCGGGCCCCAGTACAGATGCAACGGCCAGCCCATAAAGGGGCTAGGAGAAAATCAGGTGAGTCCCTGTGTGACTTGGGGTAGGGGTCTTTCAACAAAATTTCAAAATTCAAGGCTCTAAAGATACACACACCCCAATTTTATGACTTCTAAGATGAAGGATGTTAGTTCAGAAATCAGTACTAAGGGAACCAGCAGTTAGCGTAATGGCTATGTCGCTTGTCTCCCACGTAGTCGACCGCGGTTCGTGTCCCGGACCCGGTGGCTTAAAACTCACGCCGGGCGCGTGTGCGTGCGTGCCCAAGGTCCCGAGAGGAGAATGGAGGAGAAGGGATTGCGGCGTGACCATCCCCCCTGGGGGGTGATTTCTCGCTTTCTGTCTCTATGTCTCTCTCTGTCTGGCGAGCGCACGCGCCCTACAGTGAATAAAGATACACACACCCCAATTTTATGACTTCCAAAATGAAGGATGTTAGTTCAGAAACCAGTACTAAGAACTGTTCACAGACAGACTGCACGTCTCCTACTTAGCTATGTCTAAAATTGACGGGGGACTAAAATCTGGGATATCCCA